TTATTGCTGCCTTATACATCCTGAATATTTGTACATCCTGGTTTTACATTTCCTGAACATTTCCCTATGAAAATTTTCATTATAGGTAGGACAATATTTTCTAACTGTACCTATTTTTCAACGATGAGAATTCTAAAAATATTTTTTATTATGAAAGATTTCAAAATAGCATATAATAATGAATATCCATATACACATCATCTGGATTTAATAATTGTCAACATTTCACCACATTTGCTGTATCATTTTTGTTTTATTGCTAGTATTTATCATCCCTACATATTTCTCTAAAAATATGGCTCTTTCTTGCAGTGCCATATACTATTATTGCTTTTATTAAAATGAGCTAAAATTCCTTAATATCATATAATACATTGTCCATATTCAAATTTCTCACTTGTCTTCAAAGTATCTTTTGTAGCTGCTTTGTTCAGTTCAGGATCTAATCAAGGCCAATGCATTTCATTTCATTCTTGTCTCTTAAGCCTCTTTGAGCTTAGAACAGTTCTTCATTATCCTTACTTTTATATGGGTGTGTGTCTTTGTGTGAACACATGACATTGACTTGTTAAAGAGACAGTTGGCTTACACCATGTCTCATTTCCTGAATTTGTCTGCTTTTTCAGGATGGGTTTTGATACTTTATTTGATGTTGAACATCTCCTTTGGTCTGAAGATGGGCAGCAGCTGGGAGACCCTGTACACAGACAGCCCCAGATAATAAGGAGGATAGACTAAAAAGGCAGTAGGGTATTCCATGCGCCTGTGTTTTGCTTCCTGCCAGAGCTGATAGACTCATATGAACACACAGCACCATAGTCCCTTCAGAAAGAACCAGCAAGTTTTTTCTTTTTGCTAGGTCATTAGCACAGAGCTTGAGGATATAATGATCCTACTCGACATATATTTTGAACAGCATATCTTGAGTAGAACAAGTTAAAGAGACAGGAAGATGAAACTGAAGCTATGAGAAGGCCATAGGAAATTACCAGTAGCCTGACAGCTTGAGTTTGTTCTCCTCTCCTGAAGTCTGCTCATCTCTCTTGGTTGTAGCAGGGAACCAAATTTGGAATAGACAACTGCAGAGGACGAAGTGTCTTGGGAGAAGCTGATGGCAGGCATTAGGAGATGAGGCTTGGGAAGTAGAACGCAGCCAAAGAAGGAAGTGTAGTACAGGGAGGCAAACCGTGAGAGGGTCCAGCTCCCCTCTTTACTCCTTCCCCCCAAAGATTGGTGTTGTGAGAAAGGCTGTAAAATCTTTCTGATCTTAAAGGTGTTTTGGAAAACTACTCAGTCCTTATTAGCGTTCTTAACTTACGCAGGGCATCTGAAACTTGAATGGTATCCTGTGGGAAGATTTAAAAACAACAAATGCCTCGGTCCCACCCTCAGAAATTCTGATGTAATCGGTCTCAGATGTGGCCATGACAACAGGATTTTTAAAGACTCCCCAGGTGATTCTAATGTGCATCTATGTTTGAGACCTACTGACCTAGAGCGATAGACCATATATACATTATTATTTTTTTTTTAAGACATTCAATCATCTTTCCCACCTCCATGAAACTGTATGGAATTCTGATGCATAAAAAAAGATAATAGTGGATTTTCTTTACTTAAGGTGTTTGTGAAGTCTTGCTCATTGGACACCATTTGTCATCTGTATTACTAACTTTTTCCAAGCTCTCATTTGCTTCCTATAGCAGCATCTTCATAGAACTAAGTGCCAAAGAGGAAGACTATTCAAAAACATCACTGATCTAGAGTTTACTGGATTTTAGCCATCTAGATCTGGATTTAAACGCTACTTGTTAACTGTGTGACTTTGGACAACTACACCTATACTCTCTGACCCTCATTTCTTTTATCTCTTAATTAGAGATGATACCTATCTCACAAGTTGTTAATAAAAAAGAAAGTTGGATATAAGCTTGTGTACTCTCAACAGAGGTTAGGTCCTTGGGTACTTCATGCTTTCCTTGAGGCCACTGTAAACTTTCAGGTGTGTTCTGGCATGGAACTGATGGTTTGGCTTAATCCAGGAAACTTCAGTTGCCTTCGTATTGTACTTGCATTGTCAGATGAACACAGATTCGCTCTATCCATGACAGGTAGCCTCATGAGAACTTGTAGCCTCATGGGAACAGATGGAGTGGGGGAGGAGTTGTTCCTGTTGAATGATGAAGGAGAAGCCAGGAGCTTCCATGAAATGTCTCAGGAAATACTCTGTAACTGCGTAAATTGAATGAACTGAGATAATCATTGGAGAGGGAAGCAGGCGCGAGCCCATTTTCATGAGAATGAAAGCAGTAGGAAGGTCTAGAAATGGTGGTGATGGATGGGCTAGGAGTTTGATATGGGAAGGAGTTCTCTGTGGACCAGACAGAGATGTAGGTTCATAGATGAGGGAGGATTTTTTTTTATTCAAGAAACTTTTTTTTTTTTAATGACAATGGAATTTTAAGCAAGTATGTAAGAACATGAACATATTCTTTCCTATTTTGCTGTTCCAATATGGTTAAACAAAACTCCCAGGTAGTACAGACACCTCACATTTTTCATTGTGTATATGCTGAGAAGTGTAACTGGGTGATATGAATTTAACTTCCTCCTCTTCCTTCTTCCTAGCCAGACTTTTGTTAAGTTGTGAAATGGCTGGAGGTGTTCAGAAGATGACAAAGGAGAAGTCAGAGGCTTGGAGAATTACAAAACTAGATGATCTGTAATTGAATAATGTTGAGTAGAATACACAAATCAATGTGTCTAAAATCTGTTTAAAGAAAACTCATTCGGGTTTGGTCCCATCTCAATGACAGTGAACTAACGTTTCAAGTCTCAACATGGCTAAATGTGGTATTTCCTGTTTATCTTTCACAAGCTGGCATTGATTTCCACATTGTGTTTCCTGCACACCCCCAACCTCTACAGAATGAAAAATGCTTTCCTAGTTCCTCAGCACTCACAATGAAGAACCTTCAGAGTTCTTTTATTTCTGGCGTCTGACTAAGTGGAGGAATAGCATCCTGTTACAATAGGGGTTTGAGCCAACTAGGATGTTTGGTGGGCTCACAGTGGATTATCTTTAGTCTGTTAAAAAAGATTTTTTTTTGAATTATTGACAGGTTATTATCCAAAATATGTGAGTGTGTTGCTAACCCATTTTAATGTAGTAGTTGTATATTTTTTATTTCCATTCTTTCTTAACAGACAGATGAGGAAAAAAACAAAACACTTTTAAGAAGTGAGAAGTAGAAAATGTTCATTTGGAACGATAAAATCTTTTGGTCATTTGAAATTGAAACCAAGGCAGTTTCTGGCAAACTGTGAGCTGTGGTCTCATCTGCGGTGGCCCCGTCTGCTGCCGTCCTCTCGTCCCCTCTTGCTGTCTGGCACACCTCCGCTCACACCCAGGCGCTGCGTAGGGGCCCCATGTGACTGTGCGTTCACAGTGTACTTGCCCACAGTGTCCTATAAGAGCATCCCCTGCAAGGCTAAGATTTTATTTATTTATTTTTTAGCATTTCTCCTTCCCAAGAAAATTATTATTTTTTTAATGCCTCAGTGTTAATGAGCTATCTGAGGAATGAATTTGGTAAGGATAGCTCAGATGAAGTTTTATGTGGCATCAGTGGTAGGACTCAGTTTTAGCCTTCTGTGTTTACATTTCAAGAGTAGTTCCCTATAAACCCCAACTAATGCATCCATCTGTCAACAAAGGCCTTTTCAGGATTTCATGTATAGATTTTAATGACTGGGGCAGAGTGATGTACAGTCATTTATACAGACTTCCTCAAGTCTCAATGTAAGGTTTATGTTTCAAACCGATTTTAAAGATAGGGCTTACTTAAATTTTAGCTTAATGTCACTAAATTCCCTTTTAGTTATACCTCCCCATTGCCAGGACATTTAAAAGTCCCCTCCCTTCCTACCAAAGATAAGAAGTTGGTGACCTCTCAGTTTCCACCCACTTGTGACTACTCTCAGTACTGGTGAAGAGGCGAAGCTTGTAGAGTATAGGGATTTCAATTCCTCCCTTTGCATTCAATTAACAATTGACTCCCTTTATTATGATACTGACTTTTCAGTGTGAGACACATCTTTATTTCCCTTTCACTGGTTTTAACAACGAACTTTTTCACTCCATTGTTACTTAATGAAGACATGGGTAATAGTGAATACATGGTTCAGATAGTTCTTAGAACAGCCCTGGTCAATAGAAATAGCATGTGAGCTCCATACTTAATTTTGAATTTTGTATTAGCCACATTAAAAAATAAAAAGAAACAGGTAAAGTACATTTTTAGTAAATATTTTATTTAATCCAATGTAAAATATTATTTCACTGTGTAATCAACAAAGAAAGTGAACTATCTCATACTTGTTTTTTTTTTCCCCCTCTGTACATAGTCTTTGAAATCTAGGATGTAGTTTTATATTTTATAGCACATCTCAATTTGCAATGGCCACATTTCAAGTGCTCAGTAGCTAAATGTAGCTAGTGACTATATTATTTTTAGACTTGGAACATTTCTGAGTAAGAAGACTGTTGAATTGTGAGCTTAGGTTTAGTTTTAACTAGACTGTATTCTTTGTGAAAAACGTCTGTTGAAACTGACGATTTTTATTCCTAAATCTCCCCTGATGTTCTCCACTTTGGTAATTGGCACTGACAGGTTTGCTCTGTATGTTTTTACAGGTAGGGCACTGTGCACCTTTAAGAGCTACTAATTACAATGCACATGACTGGCTGCAGTCATATTGTTTCAGTAACACTGCCTAATTGTCCATGCCACAAAGGGAGTTCTTTGTGATACTTTATCTCCTCCACCCCCTTGCCCATCTTCTCCAGTCTCTCTTTCACTGAGTGATGTTGGTTCTGCCTCCAAAATACGTCTAGAATCAGACTTCAGCTCTGAGTCTCTGCTACCACCTCTTTAGAGAGACTGCTACCAACTAGATTAATGCAGTGGCCGCTAACTGGTTCCTCACGTCCACTTTGGATGTTCTCCAGTCCGTTCTCCATGTTGCAACCTGTGTTGGAAAAGGCAAGTCTGAGCAGGCCTCTCTCCCTCTGAAAATCTTCTAACAACCTCCCGTGCTTTTAGGATAGAGTCCAAAATCCTTTGGTGGCCCCCAGGGCTCTCTGAGGCTCTTACCTATCTACTATTCCTTCCTTCTTTATTTTGCATTGCTTCTCTCTTCCTTCCTAGGACTTTCACATACTTTTCAACTTTTACTTCCAGGGCTTGTTGCCTCTCTCTTTGCCTGGCTAACTTATTTTTGCCATTCCAGGTCAAACAGGACTTCCTTGGGTTGCCTTCTTTTCTTCCTTAACTCTTGGGTTCCCATTCTACATGTAATGTGTGTTTTCATAGTACCACTATGTCTCCTTCAACATTTATCAGAGTTTTATGATTATGTGTGTAATTTTAGTGTATTACCTGGATTGACCAGTGTAAGATTCACAATAAAAGAGCACCCTCTCTCCTTTGTTCATGACCTTTGTATCTTTAGTACCAGCCCTGGGTCCGGCATATGCAAGCCTTCAGTAAATTCCAGCTGAACCTGTAAATGACTCAGCCTGTTGTTTCTAGCAGTTTGGTAGCTTTAGGAGGCTTCTTTAGGTTGCAGAACCTCATGTTGATGTGACTACAGTGTTCTAGCTTCTGTTTTCCTGTGAATGTCTTAGGGTATATCCTTTATGAAGCTACTTCTTTGGCAAATTGCTGATAGATTTGGGAAAATTCCACTGGGCATTGAGATAATGACCACAATATCACCAAATTTGCTTTATAGAATAAGTGTACTTTTACCATCAACCTCCCCTGTCCTCATACCAGCTCACATGGTTGTAGAATTACTAGGTCATAGGTATGTGCATGTTCAAATTGACCATATAATTCCAAATTGTTTTCCAGAGTGTAGGAATTCTTTGTTTGCTCTATGTTATCTGCCATACTTATCAGACTTTTGTGTTTTTGCCAGTATTGTGGTGTAAATGATGTTTTATGATTTAAATTTAGTTTCCTGATTTCTAATGAAAATCTAATGAACCTTTAATTTTTAAAAATTCACCATTCCTGTTTTCCTTTCTCTGAAATACCTTTGGCCTTTTTTCTGTTTGGTTGTTCATCTTTTCCTCATTGGTTTTTTGAGATTTTTCTACATTCTAGGTCCTAATGCTTGATGGTATTTGTATTGCTAGTTTTCTCCCAGTTTGTTGCTTTTTACCTTCTAAGTCATTCTATGGTCTTTTTATGAATCAGGATTATTAATTTTAATATAGTAAATTAGCCAATCTTTTCCTTTATGGTTCTGCTTTCTAAAATCTCATTTAAGTATACTCCACATTATTCCAAAGTTATGAATCTGTCTTTAGCTTCATTTCATTTATTTTGATCGATAGTATTTTTGTTATCTTTCAGTTCTATGTATTTTCTAATTTTAATTCTTCTGTAACCTCTGGGTAATTTAGAAGTGTGTTTCTGAATTTCAAGTATATAATTTCCTTTTATAGTTCTTCTTGCTACTGATACTTAATTTAACTATTTACTTTCAGATAACATTGTGAGCTAAGAGAATTTGAAATTTGTTGAGATCTATTTTATGGTCTGGAATGTCGTTAATTTTTATAAGCCATGTGTACTTAAAAAGAATGTATATTCTCAAGTTGTTGAATGCGTTGTATCATAGGTACTCAGTAGATCGAGTTGGTTGTGTAGCTCAGATTTTTGTGTCCTTACTGATTTTGTTGTTGTTATCATTTTGTATTTCAGTTACTGAGAGAGTATGTTAAAATCTTCCATTATTATGTGGATTTACACTTTCTTTTTAGTTCAGACTTTTTTCTCTATATACCTTTGAATCTATGTGATTAAGTGTATATACATGTAAAATTGTTACATATTCCTGGTGAACTGAACATTTTTATTAATGATTATCTTTATATCAGTAATCCTTTTGCCTTTAAATCTGTTTTGTGTGATATTGATATAGCTTTACCAGTTTTTTCTTGATTATTGTGTTTGGTGTATTTTTTTCATAAACTTTACATTAAATTTGTGTTAAGCCTTATATATGGCTCTTGCAAATAATTTAAAGTTGTATCTTATTTTTTAGTCCAGTCTGACAATATTTGTCTTTTAACTAGACAATCAGGTTCATTTATACCGATTGTGATTAATGTTATACAGGCATACCTTGGAGATATTTTGGGTTTGATTCCAAACCACTCAATAAAGCAAATATCCCAATAAAATGGGTCACATGAAGTTTTTGGCCTTCCAGTGTATATAAAAGTTAGGTTTACACCATACTGTGGTCTGTTAAATATGCGATACTAGCGTTATATCTCCAAAAACAGTGAGAAAAAGAAAGCAAAGCCTAAAAAACAACAATGACAAAAAACAATGTACCTATTTTAGTTAAAAATTACTTTATTGCTAAAAAATGCTAACCGTCTTCTGAGGCTTCATCAGGTTGTAATCTTTTCTTCCCTTTGAATATTTGTTTATTTCGCTGGGCCAGGTTTTAGTTGTAGTGTGCTGGGTCTTCGCTGCAGCATGAGAACTCTTAATTGAGGCATGTGAGATCTAGTTCCCCTGACTAGGATAGAACCTGGGCGCCCTGCATTGGGAGCACAGAGTCTTAGCCACTGAACCACCAGGGAAGTCCCATCATTAGGTAACCTTTCTGCAGGTGGAGGGTCTTGCCTCAATGTTGATGGCAACTGACTGATCAGGTTGGTGTGGTGGTTGCTTGAAGGCTAGGGTGGCCATAGCAATTTCTGAAAATAAGACAATGATTGAAACTTTCTTTTAGGAATGATTTCTCTGCAGCATAGAATGCTGTTTGATAGAATTTTCCTGACAGTAGAACTTCTTTCAAAATTGCAGTCAGTCCTCTCAAATCCTTCCCCTGCTTTATCAACTTTGTTGATGTAATATTCTAAATTCTTTGTTGTCATTTCAACAGTCTTCACAGTATCTTCCCCAAGAACAGATGCCACCTCAAGAAACCCCTTTGCCCACCCATAAGAAGAGCTTCTCACCTGTGAAACTTTTATCATGATACTCCCAACAATTTATTCACACCTTCAGGCTCCACTTCTAAGTCTAATTCTGTTTCTCTTGCTATTTCCACCACATCTGCAGTTACTTCCTCCACTAAAGTCTTAGGCCCCTCAAAGCCATTCCATGAGCACTGTAATCAGCTTCTTCCAAATTCTTTGAATGTTGATATTTTGACCTCTTTCCATGAATCATGAATGTTCTTAATGGCATCTAAAGTGGTAATCCTTCCCAGAAGGTTTTCAATTTACTTTGCTTAGATCCACCAGAGGAATATCCATGGAAGCTATAACATTACAAAATATATTTCTTAGATAGTTAAGACTTGAAAGTGGAAATGACTCCTTGATCCATGGGCTGCAGAATGGTTGTTGTGTTAGCAGAAATGAAAACAACATTAATCTCATTGTACACCTCCGTCAGAACTGTTGGATGACCAGGTGCATTGTCAATGAGCAGTAATATTTTGAAAGGGATCTTTTTTTTCTGAGCAGTAGGTCTCAACAGTGGGCTTAAAATATTCAGTAAGCCATATTGTGAACAGATGTGCTGTCATCCAGGCTTTATTGTTCCATTTATAGAGCTCAGGCTGTATAAATTAAGCATAATTCTTAAGGGCTCTGGAAATTCTGAAATGGTCGTTTAAACTTCACTCACCTTCAAGCCATCAGCTTCATTAGCCCCTAACAAGAGAGTCAGCCTGTCCTTTGAGGCTTTGAAGTGAGGCACTGACTTCTCGTCTCTAGCTATGCAGGTCCCAGACGGCATCTCATTCTTACAGAAGGCTATTTCAGCATCTATATGGAAATCTGTTGTTAAGTGTAGCCACTTCATTAATTATCTCAAAAAGGACTTCTGGGTAATTCCTGTAGCTTCTCCAACAGTGCTTGCTGCTTGCCCTGGGACTTTCATGTTAGAGAGATGGCTTCTTTCCATAAAGCTCAAGAACCAACCTCTGCTAGCTTCACACTTTTCTTCTGCAGCTTCATCACCTCTCTCAGTCTTCACAGAATTCAAGAGAGTTAGAGTCTTGCTCCGGATTAGTTTTTGGCTTAAGGAAATGTGGCCGATCTATCCAGATCACTCAAACTTTCTTCTTTTTTCACTAAGGCTATTTCACTTTCCTATCATTGGTATGTTCACTGGAGTAGCACTTTTATTTCTTTCAAGAACTTTTCCTTTGTACTCATTCACAGCTTGGCTGACTGTATGGTTCAGGAGGCTAGCTTTTGGTCTCTCTTGGCTTTTGATGTACCTTCCTCACAAAGTGTAATAACCATTTCTAGCTTTTGATTTACAGTAAGAGATGTGCAGCTGTTTCTTTTACTCAAATAAATGCTTAGAGGCCATCGTAGGGCTACTAATTTGCCTAATTTCAATATTGCTGTGTCTTAGACCCAAGGAAAGGGAGAGAGTCTGGAGTGGTCAGAACACACACAACATTTATGAAGCTTGTCATTTTATGTAGGTGCAGTTTGTAGTGTCCCAAAACAATTATAACCGTGACTTCAAAGGTCACTTCAAAGGTCACCATCACCATAACAAATAATAACGAAAAAATCTGAAGTGTTATGAGAATTACCAGAACGTGACACAAAGATTTGAAGTAAGTAAATGCTGTTGGAAAAATGGTACTGATAGAGTTTACTTGATGCAGGGTTCCCAGAGACCTTCGATTTTTAAAAATGCAGTATCTGCGAGGTACAGAAAAGTGAAGCACAATACAATGAGTTATGCCTGTATTTGGATTTATTTCTTCCATCTTGTAATTATTTGAAGTGTTGGTCTGTATTGTGTCACAGTCTTTGGCTGAAAGATGTTCCACATCACTGAATAACTCAATCACCTATGTTGGATTATCCCTATGACCCCAACATGGTAGTGACTCGGGATTAAATGGCAACAGAACACAGTGCAGAAACTGGAGATAGTTAAACACCAGTGTTAGGAAAGGAGAAGTTCACCTTCATCATATG